GAGAGCCGGGCCTGGCCTGCCGGCCTCTGCCCTCCATCGTCGGAGGCTGCTCCCCGCAAGGGGCTTTAGAAACAAAACTGATCCCGCAATGAGCGTCTTCAAGGAGTTTAAAACACTTGCTGGGAAAAAAAACAAGATGCATTTCCTCCCAGAATGTCCTTTCGGTGTTGCGGGGTCGGTGGTTAACCGCCCTGAAAACCCTCTGTCACTCCATGGTGTTAACCAGCAGTGCCCGTCGCAGCCCGTCCAGCCTGAGAAAAGGAGCTTTCAGTTCTATTGCTATGGTCCTTAAAAGGGAAAAAAAACAAATTACTGGCGGGTTGCATAGTATGCATAGCAAAGCCGGCTGCTTCATCGTGTGCTCCAGTGATTCGTCAGATTGTTGTGTACTGCAGATCTTAGGCCTAACAGATAAATCTGTGAAATACTGAGTAACCTTCGTCCCTGCTTGTGCGAAATCGTCACTTGTCGTTGCTTTTGATATGCCATTAGATCCTCCGTTTTCTGCTTTATCAGACTCTTATGTCCTGAACTTCTGAAACTCCACTCCTCAGGGTAGTCTCCCTGGTGGCTATTAAGTGGCTGCTATATTTTAACTTACAGGGAATTACACTTCCCTTTTATCAGTGTCATGTATGAATACATAAAGGTCTTCTGGTTAAAGTCATAAAGCAGTTCTACTTATCAGCCTGTTATATAAGTAAATCTGTCACACCTTGATCGACAAGTATTGTTAATACTGGTATTTTTTGCTTACCAACACACTTAGTGTTCATCTGAGCTTATAAACAGAAAAGTGTTTCATATCCCAGGTTGTAAACATGAATGATCACTTGGGGAGTTTGAGATGAAGAATGTATTCTTTTAATGCCATGCACAAAGTACAGTTTTGCTCTGCAATTGTGCCAAGTGCTACCTAAGAAAAAGAAAATAAAAAAACCCTTATAGCATTTAAGGTTTTCAGTTCTTAAACTAGTTTTTGAAAAATTGCTAAAGAGAGGACTTCTGTCTAAAACAGAAGTGCAGTTAGAAACAGCTGTCACTTTAAAGGTACTGGTGATGGCCTAATCCCTTTCATCTATATAAATGCTTTTAGAGTGTGACATTATCATGTTTGTTTCACAGAGGGTGAGACCGCAGCTGAAGAGTTAACACTGCCTTCTCTTCACTTTACCTTCTAAACAAGCCTTAACTATTTCAGCGGCCAGGGGGAACTGTTTTGATGCTGATGCTGAACAGTATTTTGAACCTTTACATACAGTAGCAGGATGTTTTGTTTAGCCTTCTGCATATATTTAAGCTGTAACCAGTTTAAAATAAACAAACAAAAAACCCTCACAGTTGGTAACTACGGTATACCGATAGAGCTTGTGGCCAAGGGGAGGGAGGTGGAAACCTCAAACCTTCGTGTGGCTTTTGTATTGCGACAGCAGGTTTGTTTCCTAAGCAAAAATCTCCAAAGAGACTGTTATTAGAATTGTATGTTACAGTATATGTCACAGCATTCAGTTCCACCCTGTTCATGGTTTCATGTACCAAAAAAAGGTGATTTTGTTCAGACGGTATGCCCCCCCACCGTTTCCAGTGATATCTCTGTGCAAGAGAAGATGCACTTCTGTGGAGACCTGGATTACATCTAGCTACAGAAGTGGTGAAGGATTTGTCATCACAGGTCAAGTATTTTGGCCAAAGATCCGACTTCAAAAAGAGTAAAAAGAGGGACAGTAAGGCACAGTATTTTTTGTTTGTTTGTTCAGTAACACACTGCTTCAGTATCTTTGAAATTCAGAAAGTATTTTGCATTTTCATCCCTGTATGGTTTTATGCATAAAGAGCCAGGGGAAAGCTGGGGAGAAAGGAGAAATCAAGTACAGTGAAGAAAATTTTTTACAGCTTCTGCATCTACAGCCTTAGTGGCATAGTTTGAAGTGCATTCCAAAGCCAGCTTACAGATGTGTGACTACTTGGATTGAGAACTGAGCTCTAATGCCCAGGCTGCGTTCAGTCAAATGCGTAATTGTGTTTAATGTTTGCCTCTGTAAAATCAACACATAAGACATCCTGAAAGAAAGCTGAACTCTCTCTTGTTTTTTTACCGCTTCTGCAGGAAACTATGCCCCAGACACCAATATTTTCCAGCATGCTTGGTTCCAGTTGTAGTGGACAAGTGCAGCCAGATATGGGAGAGAGATGTGTGGACCCTGTTTATCAGGATGGGAACCTTGTTTCTGGATCACTAGAGGCCTTGATAGAGCGCCTGGTGCCCACCATGGACTATTATCCAGATGTAAGTAGGCACTGAAGGGTTGTTTTTTTTAGTTCCTGCGGTTTTCCTGCATTGGTACCTGAACTGGTGCTTCCTCAAGAAATTCTACCTCCATCTGACTCAAGATTAAGATGTAGGCTAAAGATGCATTTATTTTACTTGCAATATTCATTCACTAAAGACGTTGCTCAATGGGGATACTCTCCTTTCTGTTTTCAAATAAGAACACTTGTTAGAAAGATAAAGCCGTGTTGAACCCAAATGGGTGCCTTAAGAACCAATTAAAAGCAGCATTAGCCACAGAATTTTCAATCCCTCTAAGCTGCTTTAGCTCTAATGCAGTCAAGATTAACTACTAACCAGCTCTTACCAAGGGAAGGAGATGTGAAATGAGCTCTAGCATTTTTTTCCCCTCTATTTTCTATGCATCTCCTAGTTAGGCCATCAGAAGAAAACAAAAATAAATTTTAATTAAAATGCTCTCTTTCTCAAGACATTTTAACGGGCTAGCACTGTAGTAATGTATGTTCCTAAGCCCAAAAATGATTTTGCAACTAATTAAACATCCTCAGTGCAGTCCCCTGAAGTAAATACTACTTATAATTCCAGGGCACACAACAAGATTCTGAACCTAGGATATTATTAAGAGATCACTTTATCACTTAAAATGACCCCTTGTACCCATTAATGAAAGATTTTATTTAAACAAATTGCCAAAGATCAGAGAGGCTATATAGCATATATTCCATCTGAGCTCTGAAAAAGTGGCAGCTGTGGCAGAAGCATCCCAGCTCTTTGTAGAGACTAACAAGGAGTTGGGAAATTGCAATCACTATTCACTTGTATGTTGAACTTAACACTTGTGGTAGTGGGCCGTGCTACATCTTGTTATGTGTTTCTCAGTCTCATTTGCGTAGAACTTTTTATCGCGGTTTCACATCAGTCACGATCAAGTCCCTCCAAGCTCCTGCCTTCACAATCGCTGTGCACAAAAAAGGGACTCCCCATATAAGTGTTCAGTGGGTGCAAGCAGCAGAATTGCCAGCAATCATCAGCAGATTAAAAAAAAAGCAAACCCAGGATGTTTTGATATTCCAGTTCAAAAGTAATCCTAAACCTTGTATTTAAATATGGGTAATGTACAATTGCACTACCTTTGACAGATGCTGATTTAGTACCAAGTCCTTTGTAAGGCACAGAGACGTAACTATTGTTAGACATTAAATCTCTGCTCCCTGCCCCAAATACGTATTGTAGAACAGATGCAGAAGAAAGCAGCAGTCAGAGCTGGTACACTATACCAGTGGAACAGCTTTAGAGGCTGCTGGCCCTCAGTCTTCCAAGGAGTCGGTTCCTTGTCTTTTGTGTGATACTAGAATATAGTTACTTGCTGCTTGGATTTCTGGACTATAGCTAAGTTTTTTAAGCAGCTACTAATGCACATCCCTTATTGTAACACAGAATCTATTTATAGCACAGCTACTCTGAAAATGGTTCTGTAAGGTGAGCATTACTTAAGGTGTCTACAGCTTATTTTGGAATGCTGCTGGTTTCCATGGTGCTATCCCATACCCCGTGCAAGGGAGCATTGCAAAGCAAGCAGTCACTGACTCCACCCTGAGAGGCTGCAGTTAAATAGACAGCAAGCTGACAGCTGAGAGATACAA